TATTTATTAAACATTTTATAGAAGAGATTAATTATTTCATTTAAATGCCGAATTTGAGAAAAAATATATTGATATTATTATACAATAATTAGAAATTTAAAATCCTATAATTTTTCAGTTTTTCCGAAAAACTTAACACGAAGCATGTAATTTTAGTATTTTACAGGCATTTTGATCCAATATTAGTATAAAACTAACCACGTGCAATTTCTAATTTATTAAATAAATCCAAAAAAAAACTAAAAAAAATAAGTGCTATTTTTTGCCAGGTATATCTAGAGATTCATGGCATTACGTATTCTAGAACTAGTGGCCACTTAATACTATAATTTTTGTAGGCATGTATATTAAGAAAAACATATTATGCTTATAAAAGTCTTATTTTTACTTTTACATGTCTTTATTGTTATACTAGAGTCTTAGACTAATAAGTAATAAGAAGCTAAATATTATCGATGACAGCTGAAATGTAAACATTTTAGAAGATTATGTTACGTGGTCGTAGTTATAGAATATAGTATACAGGATGTAACTGGGAGACCTGACAAGAAAAAGAAAGGTATGATATATTTTGTGAAAATTATATGGTAAGTGAATAATTTAAGAAATAATATACTCATGTCAGGAAATTCCCAAAAATAATATTTTGAAAAATTGTATTAAGTTCTAAATTAATTTACTCAAAAAAATATTGGTATTTGAAAAAATTCTGAAAAGTAAGCTACTTGACTTATATAAATGTTTTTACCATGAATAGTCTTCTTATAATCAGATTTACAAATTGGCTATTTTTATTTTTTATTTTCAATATTAAAACGTAACATTTTGTTTTTACATTATACGTATATAAGTAACTATAAATTAAAAAATTATAAAAAAAAAATTAAAAAATAGAACAAAAGTAATTTCATCTGTCATTATTCCTGTTATACTCTGTATATTGGTACGAGGTAGAGATGTAAGCTCGGTAAATTTTTACCTCTTAAATTTACCAACTATATTTTTACAGGTAAATATTTTTTTACCAAAAAAAATTAGCATGTGGCACCTCAAATTAAACGGCTTCACGGGGCCTATATTCATCAGTCATAACTCATAACATATTAATAAAATGGAATAGTTTATATTATAAAATGTTAAATGTCCATATAACCATTAATAGTGTAGTACCTATACTACATAACATTAAATATACGAATACAATATAAGAATATCTGATACGGTCAATTATTATAGCAATTAATATAAATTTGATTTTATTGCAGATATAGATAATAAACCACTTTTAAAATATTAGTAATTTTAAACTTTTCAAGGCTTTGGGGCGATGGTTAAACTTCTCTGATTATTTTTAAATATTCGATACATTATTTTTATTATTTTTAACACATATATAAGAATCAGAACCCCTGTCACTAAATTAAAAAATTTAAAAATAACGACCACCCTGTTCAATTTAACATCCTACTATCCAGTAAATAAAAAAAATAAATGTTACCATAATTATAAGTTCGTGGAAATGCGTCAAAGGCGGCAGAGAGGAGCCCTCTCTATGGTAACATACCAAAATTATCAAAAATTACCAAATTTACCAAATTTACGGTAAATGTATGTACATTTTTCTCGGTAACTTACCAGAAAAAAAATGTACGTACATTTTACATCTCTAGTACGAGGTAACATATGACATGGAGTTAGGTGAGGTAATTGTCGGCTACAGATTTAAACCAAACGTGAGAGAGTTACTCGATTAAGTAAGCACAAAAGGATTACGATGTTAAAATAATAAAATATCAGTTAGGTACATAATTAGGCAGTTTTTCCGAGTAATTTTAGGTACCTATGCAAAAACTAAATACCTAATGTAATACACCTTACTTTACCTAAGGTCCGGTATAATAAAACATGAAGTCCTGAACATATAGGAACAAATGTCAGTCGCATCAAATAGGGGACTGTAAAAATAGTTATTTAAACTGTTCTTTGATTTCATTCAGTAAATAATCATGAAAACATGGTGGGAATTATCGAGTGATTAACACTGACAAAATGTGAGCAGACACACGCGACACGCATATGAATACAGAATATTTATCAAGGGATCAATAGTGATTGGCTAGGCCTCTATTGTCAGTGACAATTAAATAACTTTCGTATGTACAAAATTGGTTACTAATTTTAGATTGTCGGATTGTAATAAAACGCATTATACATTTATAAATACATATTAAATAAATGTTATTTCTAAATTAATGTATACTGCGAAAAGTGGTGAAGTAGGTTATCGCTCTGCTGTGCAGTATAGGAGTCTAGTGTAACAATGGCGGATCCAGGGTTTAATTTTGGTGGGAGGCTTGGGGGGGGGACAAAAGTACAAAAATTGGCTACAAAGTTGGTTAAACACAGTGTAAAACAAAGGGAAACTGCCTCCTTTGACCCCCCATCTCTGGATCCGCTACTGGAGGTGTACTAAGTCATCGAGTAGGAACTGTAGACTACAGTATTGTACGTGTTAAATTATAATTGATGATAAATCATTGTATACTACGAAAAAAGATCCTGAGCGAAGAAGGTTTAACTTTGTGGGAACTAAATTTAGGTTACTCTGTGGTAACTAAAATTACCTGACAATAATTTTAACAATAGTATTACCTACATCTTTAAGGCGATTGGATACCGTGATTTTCTGCCTTTGTCTAACAGACGAGTGACGTACGATTTTCTACTAATTTTACTTCTATCAGTCCAGTCGTTGCATTGATGCAATAAAAATTCAGAAAATGTATTTGAATTCAGCGTAAAGACTATTTGAGATCGGTTGGATTACATTTTTGAATTTTGGCCTCAAAATTCCACAAATTTCATAGAAGGTTTTTGAAAAATATTAAATCTTGTAGTAGTGTTAAAAAAATATTATTAAATAAAACTTAAAAAGTGGTCTGAAAAACTGATCTCAAGTAGATTTCACGCTGAATTAGTTTTCAGAATTGTTATCACTTTAATATAACGATTGGACTGATTGAAGTAAAATTAGTAGAAAATCATATATCCCGCATGTGTTAGACGAAGACAGAAAATCACGGTACCCAATCACCTTAACAAGTATTCGTATTTTTTTCTGTGTTTCCCGATTATTTTTAAAAAGTATCTACCTACTGAGAATTTTTAATTTAACCTTCTAAAAGTACCATTAGTACCAACTAAATCAAATTTGATTTCGATGAAAGTTGATAATCAGAACATTTATTCTATGACACAAAGTGTCTTCAGACACCAAAAAAGCGGGTAAGTGGATGTCGCTCCGCTGTACAGTAGGTTACAAGTGGGTCAATGTAATATAATATCATTGTATAAGAAAAACGATTCTGAGCGGAGACTGTCTATCAGTCTGGATATTTTATATTGTTATTATTTATTATATCCTGTAAGTTCAATTAATATTATAGTATTATTATTTTTTATTCGTTTCTATGGTGATAAACATTTGAAATTAAAATCCCATTTTTAGCTGTTTTTCATAATTCGTTGGTGGGTTTTCCCCTGGAATTAAATAACTATGGAGAAAATTGAAAGATGACCTCTCTAAAGTACCATCTTGATCCAATTTTCTATAAGATAAGGTACTGTATGTTGAAATTAAAACACAACTTCTGGTAGAAATTTTGTATATAGGATAAAAAAAACAAATAAAATAAACACCATTGTAAAACCACTATAGCGTCCTCGCTCCTCTAAAACAAAGAAATTATAAATTTATAATTTTCAAAATGTTTCGACTCTTTTTGAGTTATTTTTAATTATTTAAAATTTTAAAATTATTTTTTTTTCTGTACACTTTGTTAAAAATAATTTTGACAAAATCTTGAAAATTGAATAAAAAGTTCCATGTTAATTTTATTATAGCTGTAACAAATATTAAAGAGACATTTGCAATTTGCATGATGTTTTTTATAAGCAAGTTAAAATGTTGACAATATTCATCAAAACTGCGAAAATTTGCCAATTATTTTGTGATTAAAAATGTATACAATATTCTATTCTTACAGCTAAGGCTTTAAAGTGTAATAAAAGTTCCTCATAAGTAGCTCTTACTAAAATCAAAATTTTTTAAAATATATAAGCACTAGCTTTTTTTTATAGACTTTTGAATTTAAAATTTCTACGAAGTTAGATTTCTTAACGAGAAATAATGACTTAAATAATTTTGTTATAAGTAAAAAATATTATTTGTGGGAAGAACGTTAAACTTTTAACGTATGTATATTATTATATTTTATACAATGTAGTCACACACACACACACACACACACACACACAATATCGACTGTAAAATAACAAATATAGGTAATAACAGTGAAACATTTGTAGTTAGGTACCTATTATAAGGTATTTTTATATATTTATTATAAGATAAAGAGGCGAGGAATCTAATAATATTCTTCTTAATCGTATACGGCCAACGAACAAAACACAATATTATGCACAGCTGTTGTAGTCGAGTACCACATATTATTATAACATATGTACCTACTTATAACAATAAATATAGAATTAAATCCTTATCCGAATCACATGTCTACATCCGTGGCACGGTCGTGCTTACGGCGAAAACCAGAAAACGCATCAAACGGTTGCGGTTAAACGCGCTCAGTTTTCCCGCGACCGAGCGAACAGGGACAGTTACTTTAGGCCGCCGCCGAATCAGATGAAACTCGTCCATTATATTTTCACGGTGCTCTGACCAGACGATTCGCAAGTGCGTATATAAGCTCCCAGTATCCAATTAGGAGCCATCACATTCAGACCGACGACTGACGAGTCCACACGCGTCCAGTTAATATTCATACGTGGTAGGTATACCTACCTATACTTTATAATAACATCACAACCACAGTAAACGTGAATACTCGCACAGTTTTCGTCCGACAAAAGACGGTAAAACTGTTTCATTCTTATCATACTCAACATATTTTATTTTCAAAAAAAAAAAAACCAAAAACATGTTTCCTCCCATCGCGATTTCGTTCGTTTGCGTATCTCTGGCCGTTTTCGGTTCCACCGCTTCCGTGCCACAACAATCACAACAACGGCAAGAGGACGGATTCGGCGCCGTCCTGTGGTCGGTTCTAGACGATTGTTTTGGCGACGTCACTTCTGCCGTACCAGCCACCGTGTGCCTCAAGTCCAAAGCGCTGACTGCCCTTGACAGAGCCCTCGGCAAGTCCGCCGTGACCCTTACGGAAGGCGTGACCCTGGCCGCCAGGGCCGGCAAGTCACTGGCCTTCGACCCACAAGCCGACCGGGCCGACCGCGCCGCCCTGGACGCCGCCCCGGACGACGACAGCAAGAACGCCATGCTGGACGACATGCTAGCCAACCGCATGGACAGGCTCATGTCCACCAGGACCATCGTGCTGGACGGTGTCGACCAAGAAGGTGAGAGAACGTCATTATTACAATATTAAATATCAAAATTACCGCCCTATAACATTTAAATCGTTTGAGCCGGGTTTCCTCTACTGCAGGGGTCACCCTTCCCTGATTAAGATTTTTTGATATTCACTTTGGGAACTTAGGAAGTTTTCGAGGACCACCAAAATTGTGTGTGGGTACATGTTTACCCAAAGAAAGTAAAGGCAAAACAAATAATTTAATTTAAATTGATGAAAACTTCATTTTATTCACCATTGAAAAAAATAGTTTTAAAAATTCATGTCCACGGGCTCGATAAAGTTCGTCAACAAGTGGCCAGCGGGCCTCCATTCAGTGAGTAACACAGGCCACGGGGAACACGGTACAATTTTGTAAAGTACTTGAGTAAACGTATTTAAATACTTTTTTACTCAAATTCTTTCTCAATGTATCTGTATTTAAAATCAATAGTGAACTACTCAACTGAAAATTCAAATACTTTGACGAAAAAAAAAACAGATGAGTATTTTTTGTTCCGTCGAATGTTGGTGTAAAACTCTTTATAAAATTAACGTAAAATATGAAAATTGCAGTTGATTTATTTTAGTTAATTTTTTTTCGGTTGGGGGTTGGTGGTGAGAAATACATCTATGTCACCATATTATGTTATTGTATAAATGCTAATGTAGGCACCATAATAATTGTTGTTATAGGCACATAATAGTTTTGCTACATTAGCGCTCGCTGTTTACACGGACGTACGTTATTAAATTACGATCGTATGGCACGTACGTGTTTGGGGTAAACAGTGGTGCTATTTTGTCAATTGTTTGTCTTTTTGTCTGCTTTATCATTTTCGTAATTATATTTTTATATTACAGTTTAAACGCCGCGCTTTATCGTCAGATATAGTAATATATAATAATAATATAATAATATGATTAATGAACGCTCAAGTACAAAGCTAATACCGGATCGGTGGACTGCGACTTAACCTTATACCTAAGCACCGTGTTGTCCTATATGTTTATAGGTATACCTACCTGTCCTACCTATCTGTCTCTTGCCGAAAATTGCCCTGTGCCGCGATTGTGACGAACTATTTATACCGTACACGATCGAGATTGGGTACCTCCGGAGCGCATACACTTTCTAATGCTCATGTTCGCATAAATATATTGTTATTAATTAATATTATAATTTAACATTATCTCGGGTGTACCTATGTGAGCCATTCGATCTTTCCAGATACTAATATTAAATAGTACCTACGATGATCAAAGTTATTTCGTGGCACAATAATCACGTGTCATGAAGAAAGGCGATAACCCTTTGCGAAGATACTAAAATAAATCCCAACCATTGCCTACAGTCAAGGACCTTTAATTTCATTGAGGGAGGGGGTGTAGAGACTTCAAACCAGAGACCTAACTTAACTTAACCAAACGGTATTGAACAGAGATAATTATAATTAGGTAGCTGAACAATGTATAGTTTTTTATTGCGACCGTTCGACAACGGCACAGATTAACTTATTTCGTTACGCAGTGTAAACATTTTAAAATAACGCATTTTATCTGTGTTTTAAAAAAATATATTAAATGTAGTTTCATTATTTTACAAGTATAACTAAAGTGATATTACTTTATTTTGGAGTAGGATATATTATAGTATAGTTCAACACAATTTTATTGTTAACGTTTGGGAACCAAATTAAAAGTTTCAATTTTCTTTTCCAAATAAAATGTTGTTTAAAATAATTACTGTTAGTTATAGAATTAAAAGAAATAATTTTTTCTTTTGCCGATTCTTAATAATAGTATACGTAAATAAATAACAATATTTTGTTCTTTAATAACGACTGACGATGTTACTTTATTCATGTACCATATTATACTTAATTGTAATTACTTTGAAATTATGCATCTGCATTTAATTTACATCTACAGTCCTCTGTTCTCACTAGGTGTGTTCATTATTCAAGAACAATTTAAAAAAAAATTATATAAAACACCGACACTCGATTGTCACCCGAAATATCAATAAAAAAATATATTTTAAAAACAGTGGGATAAATCATATAATTTATCCTCTGCTTGACCGACACGTTTCACTGCTGTGTGCAGTTCTTCGGCTGAGGCCACACAATTCGACTGATGGGGCTGCTACGAATTTTTGGTTTTCATTTTCATAGAACTTACGACTCGTAATTTTCTTGCCCGACGCATATCTGCAATCAGTCACAAATCACCAAAACCTATTTGAATTTACATAATATTAGGTAGGTATTCGAAATAGTCATATTATTTGATATTATATACGGGGAAATTGCAACGGGACCATCTTATGTCATCAAAATATATTATGTTTTCTGTACTACATGATAATGATGACTGATTGGTTGTAATTTGTCTTATATATAGGTCGCAAGAAGAAGGACAAGGGTATGCAACAAGCCATCATGATGGCTGGTATGACGGCGGCCGCTGTAATGGGACCGATGGCATTAAAAATCATCGCTTTAATCTCAGTCAAGGCACTGTTGATAAGCAAAATCGCATTGGTGCTGTCCGGTATTATGGTGCTCAAGAAACTCATGCAGCCCCAACAGGGAGGTGGTGGTGGTGGTGGTGGTGGTCACGAAACCGAATCGCCGTCTCATCATTACGGCCGGAGCATCGAAGGCGCAGCTCACCACATTGCGTACTCGGGCCAAAAGCAATAATAGCCTCCAAGACGTTCTTTTTAATTTATTATTTATTTATTTAAAATCGTAACAGTTAGTAGTTATACTTTTTTACTGTTATTAATTCGTCGTGTATATTTTGTTTACGATACTATTCGTCTTAATAATGGCATTGTTTAATGCATTGTTTAATGCAGAAGATTTATTTTTAAGTAGGTACCTATTTATAAACAAATCAATTTATGAACTTTTTTCTATTATACCTACGGCTTTTAAAATAAATCTGTTTTTAGATACAATGAACAATATTCATTTATTATTTATCTAAACCTTTAATTGATTGATTGACTATGACTCGATTGTCATAATAACAGCTGGTTACGTGTTTTAGTTATTTTTAATGTTAAGTATGATTTAATTATTTTGAGAACTAAAAAAGACCGCTCTGCTAAACGTTTTGAAATAGGACAGCAGCGATATATTCTTGATTCCTTATGAGTATGTCAGGGCACTATTCGTTTTCTCTCACTCTAACCCACGCGCAACATTGCAAAATTTATGTTCAGCAGAACCAAATTGTTGCTGTTATTTTTAGTATTAGAGTGAAGTGACCTGAGTTATAAAATTTAAAGTTAATAAAATGATTCGTGTTTGTATTACATAAATTGTTTCATTTACATACCTACACTTAACTTGCATAAAATTGAAATATCGTAAAAATATCGTACAAACACAGATAATGTTGTTAAATTTAAGTTTGATAACAGGCGAATTCACTATAATATATGTTGAACGAAAATTTGCTATGTTTTGTGTGAGTTGGAGAGAGAAGACAAATCCGTTTAAGGCATTCTTAACATAATATGAATATAAATCTTCACACTCATTATCTAAGTGCAATGTTGTGGAATACATTTTAATTATTGTATCTGCAGGGAATTCATAACTATTATAGGAAATGCCAATAAAAAATTACTGAAATTCATTAGACAATGTGTAAGCTAAATCTTCTTGGTAGTAGTTTTGTATCAAGGTGTCTCGATTATTATGATAATAATCGATTATGAAAACAAGTGATTTGCCAACTTGACATCCCATTTTTGTTATTCTGAGAATTTTGTTTAAATTGTTTTGAACGTATGTGATACAAATAATCGACTTATCAATCATAAAAAAGTAGTCTAGTGGTATTTTTGCATGCAAACGTCAGTGTGTTTGCTGCCACTAATATATGGCGTACTGTGTTAACTCTATAATAATATCATACATTTAAAATAGAGCACCAACAATTTTTAAAAAAAAGTCTCTTCGACCCTCTCCCTAAATACGTCACTGCAGGCCCCATCGCTGAATCATCCACCTGAACTATAAGCTTTTTATTTTCTTACCAATTAATATGATTCTCATGGCACTACTATGTATTAATGAAAGTATTATTAATTAATTGTAAACTACGGTCTGCAGTATACTAATATATGACAATATAATATTGAAAACGGACGAGTGCACACTTCAGCAGTTTTATTTTAGTGAGTTAATATACTAGCTAATATACTCATTAATAGCGTTTCTACGGTAACAATCCACGCATTAGTATCGCCTGGAAAACGAACTATTATGTATTTCGTTGAAGAATTTTTCATATTGCATTTTATAATACGGCAATAATAATCCTAAACTATACATTTATTATCGTCGATCTCGGATAGCAAAATTGTGTGTCATCATCGCCAATGGTTAACCGCGCTAACTGCAGCCAAATCGATCCTGCTGCGGCAAGTGATTTGGGCGAGTACTCCGTCTGGGGTAACAATTCGTTGTTTCCTGAACACCGGAACTCCGGTCTACCGCGCGTCAAAGAGTCTCTAAATAACCGGGTGCTGAGTCCCACGCTCGTCGGAAGCAACTGTACAGTTTACAAAAGCATGTCACCGCGATACGACGTGAATCCCGCATTCAACAACCATTCGAAAAAAAAAATCCAAGAATTACTGCAACAAATGCCCATGATGGACAAACTCGGTGGAGATCAATTGGTCCGCAAACACTTATCGGCGGTCCAACGGCTTGACGAAATTATGGCCGCACGTGGTAAATTAGTGCAATACGCTATGATCTCCACGGCGGGCCTAATGCCGCGCAGGATTTACACTTATAATGCCATTTGTGAGGGTATGGTAACTTACGGATGCGGTTCGTCGATGGAAGAAGCGATAGAAGATGCGGCGGCCAAATTATTGGAAAAGCTTGCACTTGCTCCTGTACAAGCCGATGACCATTTACTGAATTCAATGGATTCATTAATGATAGACAATAAGCCTAATGTGAAATATGGCAACCACATTGGTATACTGCAAGAGTATTGTCAAGCTCGTGGTTTGGAGTTACCAATATATGAATACCGTCAAGATAATGACACTAAAAACAAGAGGTATATGTACTCCGTTACATGTTCCATTGGGCAATGCAAATTCACGGGTGTAGGGATATCCAAGCAAATCGCTAAAAACCATGCTGCTCGTTTGATGTATGACCAAATTAATTCGAATAATGCTACAACCAATCAGAATTCAACATCGAATACCAGAAAGAAGAAACCGATAGATTTCGATCAAGGTTTGTCGAAAAATGATGCCAAAAACAACGCTGTGAACATAGCTTTGGACCAGATCTACCACGGAAAAAACAAAACCAAAATGTCTGCCAATTACATTGGTACACTCCAAGAGAAGTGCGCAGCTCGTGGTTGGGAACTGCCAAAATATGAATACCACCAAGAAAATGATAATGAAATCCATAAATTATTTTATTCCGTGGTATGTTCAGTAGGGCCCTACAAATTCACGGGTGTAGGTAACTCCAAGCAACTTGCAAAAAATCAAGCAGCTCAAATTGTGTGTGACCAAATTGATTTGGATCAACAGAACAACACTTCGGTACTTCATAGCGATTACACACATGATACAGCCGATAAAAAGTCGAATGCTATGAAACGAAAAAAAGGCGATCAGTGTAATCGGGTTCACCCCATGAAAATATGGTATAAACAAATATCATCATCTAACAAAGAATGTGTTCAAAAACTAAAGAGTTTCACTACCTGGGAAGAAATTAATATGACTCCATTTGAATTTTTGACAAAACTTGCAAACGAAGAAAACTTTAGTGTCACATATGAACAAATGTTTGATAATGTTGACGGAAAACCAGTTTTTGGAGCAATTCATATATGCTTAGCAAGGGAACATGTCATGACGTTTATGGATGAGGGAATCACAGATGCAGATGCTCAAAATTCGGTTGCCGAGAAAACATTAAATTACATCAAACATATTAAATAAATGATATGAAATACATTGAAAATAATAAAAATATTAATAATAATAAGGATAATTTTTGTTAAATACTAAAAATACCATTATAAATAGGTATATTGTTTTTGTTAACTGACTAGTCAAGTCCCTAATCCAACTCAAATACTAAATACTAATATCATAATAATGGATGGCACAAGCATATAATAGGTAGGTAACATTACGGTGGCGCTGAAGTTATACAAATATTGCTTTAAGGGTATTGTGAAGGGTTAGTTATTTCAACCAAAATGTACTAATATTTTGTTATTCATAACGATGGACCTACTAATGTGATTATTATAGTTTTTAAAAGTGATTTGAGTTTAATATTATATGTCTATTTAAGATTAACCATGTCATTTTTTTTTTTTTTAATTTTTTTTTTCAACTTCTATACTTTTTTTTTGAATATTTAAAAATGTACCTAAAGCATTTTAGATTCTGAGTGAAACGATGAATGTATTGATTTTACAATGATGTGTGTTTTTTTTTTTAATTTTTTTAATTTTTTTAATTTTTTAATTTTTTTTTTTTTTTGTGTCTGTGTACACCATTAGTAGTCGAAAAAATGCTTCGATTTTCAACTTCAGTAACTTGTTCGATGGGAAATTGAATCTAATTGGTACTTTTGAGAGGTTAAAATTTAAAATTCCCAATAGTTTTCACAAGCGACAAGATTAACAAAAGAAAAATTAAGGAAGAACTGGAATTTTTACCCAAAATCGATTTTTCACAAAATTAAATTTGGTTTTTGGTGTAACTTTAAAACAAATGACCGTAAACACTTGAAATTTTCACTGGTTGTTTATATTTGCATTTTCTATACACTATAATATTTTCAAAATATTTTGATTTATTTTGAACTGTTTTGGGACATTTTCATTTTCCATTTTTTTTTTTTTTTTTTTCTAAAGATATCAATAAAATGTTATTTGTTGGCTGAAAAAGGTTAAAAATTTAATAGAAGGCTCCTAGTATACTGTTTCAAAGGCAGATGAAAAATATTAAAAATCCTTAATCACAGTTTTTTTTTCTAAGCATTTAAAGTTCACAAATTGACAAAATATGGAAAAATCACGAAAATTAGCAAATTACTTTGAGTTAAAAATTCGTAAAAATTTTTCTTTTTAAATCTAAGGTTTTAAAATGTAATACAAGAATCCTCATAAGTTTGTCTACCTTTATCAAAAAAAAATTTCTATAAGACATTCAAATTAAATTTTTATGAGCGTTTGAAATTCAAGTTTTTACAACATTGGATATTCACTCGATTTCTCATGTAGCGATTTCCTTATTTTGTTGTAATTCAAAAACGAATAACTGTAGATACATGAAAATTTCACTAAATGTTTATATTAGCATTTCCTATACAACATAAAATTTTGAAAATATTTTGACTCTTTTTGAGCTGTTAACGGACATTGTCAGTTTTAAATTTTTTTAGTTTTTTTTTGTATGAATATCAATAAAGTTTTATCTGTTGGGCCAAAAATTGTAAAAATTTAATACAAGGCTCCTGAGATATTGTTACAATATCAGTTGAAAAATATTTAAAATACATATGCACAATTTTTTTATAAGCATTTAAAGATCGAATTTTGACAAAATTATCAATCATTGTAATTTGAAAAAATTACAATGATTGATTACTAAAATTTTCAGTTTTTATAGCTAAGGATTGCAAATTTAAAACAAAAGTTCTCATAATAGTTTATACTGTAACCAAAAAATCTAAAAATATAGGAAACACAGTTATTTTATAGATATTTTAAATTCAAATTTGGACGAAATTACATAAAAAAACCTAGAATAACTATTTAGTTATTGTAATTGTGATTGGATAATATTATTCGTGGGTACTTGAAACTTCTAAAGTGTACTATATTATATATCTATGATAGTATCACGGTTTTTGTTGATGTATAACGCGTTATAAGTACCTAATGGATATTGTGATATACTGATATGATTAATTGGAATTTATTATAGGTACCCTGTATTGTAGGTCAATTTTTGTTTATTATCAGAGATATGTATAAATATGTCTTATACCTAGACTGACATACCGTCTCCGCTCAGAATCGTTTTTTTTTATACAATGATATTATATCATTGAATTCAAATTTAATACTATCCATTATACAGTGACAGACTTGTAACCTACTGTACAGCAGAGCGACACCCACTTTTTAATGTTAATTATTTAAAATTTAAATTTAAAATCTTAAAATGTTCCTGATCGATCTCAATGAGAGACATATTAACGAATTCAAATCAGTTTTTTAAAATCTTATTGCCTTATCAGGTTCATTGGTAGAATATGCTAAGTACAAGTACAAAATGACTAATGAGTATGAGCATGATACTCGTGCTTAACAAGTGGTGAGTTGTACAGTTGTACGTGCTCGTGCGGAAGCTCTCCGTTTTATTTTTGACTACATTAACACCTACTAATGATCGCTTACTACACACACATTTACCACATGCATGCAATTATAAATTGGCCTATGTTTAACTCTTAAAATATGTTCATTTGCAGTACCTACAAGTACATTTGAAATGGCCCCAAATTTATAAACGGTCAATTTCTATGCATACTTTATAAAAGAATATACTCAATCCACTTATATAGCGTTCTACCAAAAAATGATAAATTTTTTAAAAATGTCTGACCTATCATGAAAGAAGTATCCAAGATATATTGAATAAACCAAAAGACTGTAAGAAATATTTATACACGTTTTTATTCGAGCATAATATCTCATAATATCTTTAATTATTATTAAAGAAACGGTGATTTAATAGTATTGAGAGACCTATAGTATTTTATGATCAATAAACTAATCTCGAATACTTAGCCATATAATAATATATAAGCCCTATATTATAGGTAATATAATAGGTAGGTATAAATGTATAATCATAGAAAATTAGTAGAAAATTATATAGAAAAAAATAGAGAACACTCTATCGGCGAAAATCAACCTTTGTTTTTAAGATACTATAATTATTAACTTTTTGACCAATTTAACGAATATAGTCATTTTTGGCGTCATTTTTGAGTAAGTTACTCATTTATATATACTAACTAAACCACATTAACGTATGAACCTTATACGTTATATAAAACTTTCACAACTTCATTTTTATAAACTTTAATTACCTAAAATATAAAACGTTCAAACGATTGAAAGAGGCAACTAGGCAAAGCACAAAAAAAGTTTGTTATTAAAATAAAATATCGAAATAATTAATAATACACAGCGGTCATTAAAAAATAATTAATTTTGCCGAAATCCAAGTATGAAAGTATATTCTAATTTCATAAAAGCGTGTTAGAACCTATAATATCACGTACTATCCAAAATGTTATACATTAGTAAATTATAAATTATAATATTACAATTTATCAAATCGGAATATCAGGTTTAGTATTTAATAATGAATCATTATGGTATCATCCACTAGATTCAATAATTGATTGTATAATAATTGAATATCCTACTTACCTAATGGCTAATACTAATACTTAGTTTTTTTTTATAATACTTGAATCGATATTATTACGACTTGGCAAGTTTATATTTTAAAAGTACTTTCAATTAAAATTTGCCTATGCGTATCTTATTTTGGTTGGTTACAAATTAGTTACATTTCTTAAATATTTTACTAGGTGTTATAAATAGGTAAACATTGTGGAGAGACATAAAACGTTATAAATCATTTAATACAAATAACATTGTATCACCTCAACGAATTAAATAATTAGTTAATTAATTTAATAATACAGATATACGACACTGCATGTCCATAAACAAAAACTATCTGTGGATATTATAGGTAACAACATATAATTATAATTTTAAGATAAAGAAAAGACATCGGGAATCCGTTGTACGGGGTTAGTCTATACTTTCACTCACCTTGTCACCGTGGCAAGTATTCTTCTTTCAGATAAAAAAATAGTTATCAAAATCCGACAATTCTACCAAGGCCTGAGAATTATTCCCAATTGTCACAATTTATTATATAATATGATCTTGATAGTATATTCACAAACTAAATCATGTTCCAAATAAAATATCAAGCCTTAAATCATATCATTTACTATCGTATAGCTTGCCGTTAAATTATATTACCTAGGTACTCACTACTCATATATCTTATAAGTACTGTACCTACATTTTATTAACAGGAATATAATAATAAAATATTCATAATAAATAATAATGAGTATAAAAATTCAAAACCCTCATTAAAAACATTTTAACTACTCCCATAAACTTTTAAAATTTTTGAATTTAAATTAGATCTCGATCTCTATAGTTTTATGTCGTAGATATTAAATAATTTTTAATTGTATATACCTACCAACCTACCCATCACCATTAATGTATTCATTAATTGATCAAGTAATAATTGTTGGGTCTATTGTTCACTTACTAATATAAGACCTTTAAACTTCTAATCTTAAACATTAATTTTATGTTTATTGCAAAGTGAAAGGTGGAAGCACTAGGACGAAAAATAATAAAACACATTAATAAATATAATTTTGAACATTTTACTATGTTCTAAAATTTGAAACATGAAATTTTATTTTTTAAATTATTTGATCACATTAAAGCAATCATATTATTGTTTTAAATATTTTTTTTGAAAGTACCTGTCCTATACTCTTATAAGATTATAGTGCATACGAAAACATCAAACAAATACCTAACAAAAATATTGTTTAAATACCATATTATTAAATGTATTATTACATAACAATTTTACTACTTACTACATACCTCCTCTTTACATAATTAAATATTATATTATAATAATAAAATTAATAATTAAAAATCACTGAATATCAAATATAGAAAATAAATCTAAAATCATAAATTAGAGATCATAAAATATTATGAGTACAGTGAATTTTTTATTTCGATAAAGGTAGAAAAACTTGTTGGAAATCTTCTATTAACATTTCTAATGTT